AACGGATAGATTTATAATTTTTATATTATATATATATAAAAAAAATAAAAAAATTAAAAAGATATTTTCAATGTGCTCAGTGGGTTAGAGTGGGTCTGTAGTAATAAGGAAACAGTGGCCCCGCAGGGATCAGCACACAGCAACAAGCCTGTTTACAGGAAATCCATCAAATGACCTTGTTTCAAAGGGTTGTGGAGTTTATGATTAATCCAGGCTTCCTACTCTGCAGGTCTCGGAGGGTAGTGGCGCGTACGATCTCACCGGTGTCCTCGCACACTGATGGAAATTCAAAACAAAGAGCTCACTACGTTTATTCTCCCAGCGGCCTTCAGCGTGTAACTCTTATGTGGCCGCGATTGGAGACTCCACACAGGTCTGTGAACGGACAAAGACTGTGAGAAAGAAACGAGGCGTAAAAGTTTAAACGTGTTAACTGCAAATGCCTTATATCACTGCTGACCATTTTCTAAAAGATGCAAAACAGTCTAGATACATTTTGTACCATGTGTGCAGCAGCTGGATTCACCTGGCACATAAAACATACTTATGATGGGTAACTCATCATAGTCAGCATGAGGAATCAGTTTATTTTGTCGGCATTAAGTGATCATCACACATGCAGTTGAGAGAAGGGTGTGTTTACAGCCATGAATGTCATTGGTTTTACAGGTAGTGGAAAGGTTACCAAAGTCATCACAATTCATTCTGTGGGGGTCAAGAATGTATGCGCCAAATTTCACAGCAATCTGTCTTTATAGTTGTTTAGATATTTCAGTCAGGACCAGGGGTGACTACTTCTCCAACAACTCTCAACCAACATTAGTACGTTTGGCTGCCAAGAAGCATGTCATTCAAATGACTTGTTCCATAACCAATCATTGTTAAAAGTATATTGCAAGTTTGCTAGTTTCTGACTTTTGAAATATTGCTGTTCAGCAGCTCTGTTGAGTCTCTTTTTTTTTTTTTTATTATGTTACCGTAGAAAAGAAAAGTCTAAATAATGAATGTGATTGATTACCTCACCTAGGTTTCAAATCTCTGCAAGATGATTCCATACTGTACTGGCCCAGTCTTAAACTAATGGCTGTATGAAATGTAAAAGCCAATAGTAATGACATTCTCTGCAGTGATGTAAAGCATACACAGTTTGCAGTTAATAGGCTCTGTGAACCAACCTGAATACAATCCTTTAGGTCACTTTGGACTCGCTTCATTATACAACTGGAAAGAATAACGAATGCGAACATTTGGTTTTGACACGAGGGGGCTTTCTAGAAAAGACTGTAACCAGTGCCAAAGCAGCCCTGCCAGTTTTTCACTGAAGCAATCTAATTATAGAGACTCTGGCAAACGGTCTTTAATGATGCAATGACTGCAAACTAAAACCGTTTTTCCCCGTGTGTGTGTGTGTGTCTCTCTGCTCTTGACTCTCTTGTCAGTTGCGTTTTGTCGTGCAGGACAGGAACAGCAGCTGCTCATAAGTATTCATTAGTCCTGCGTATGGATTAGCCGAGACAAAACGTTTGAGTGTAGATTGGACTCCACACTCTGCTGCCTCCTCCAGAGCACAGCAGGTCCTCCTGCCTCTCTCTGAGCACTAACCACAGCTGTTCGGCACCACTTGACTTTTCCAACAACAATGTTCTCTGATGGCTCTGGCCACTTTTTGTTCCTGCTCGCCAAAGCATTCGTCTGGCGGATTTTCTCCGTCTCTCTTCGTGGCGTGTTGGATATAAAGGCCGTTTCCTCCTTTCATTGACAAAGCGGTGATGAGCCGCTGTCGAGGATGAAGTCTGTTGATGTCACAGTGGTTGTTATGGCCCAGTCATCCGATTTTCAGCTCTTAGTCCTGTCGGCAGCATATTTCAGCATTTTGCCATCTGGCGTACTCGCACACATACTTACTCATTTGGACGACTTGTGAGTGTTTTTCTGCAAAGAAAGAAATGAATAATTTCAGCCTCTCTTTTCCTTTCTCCACTTGAACACGTGAGCTATGTATGGGTTGTGTCTCCCGTTCAGGACAGCTGCACTGGCTGGATATCCCTGAGATCTCCTCTGTGCCCACATACGCGACCCACGGACCCGTGCATACACACACTGTGCGAGGCCATAAGTCACCCTCTCCACACCACCTCCCTCCTCCCAAACACACACACACACACATGTACACATGTACCCATGTCCCCATGTCATCGCTGCTCTCGTTCCACTGTCTCCGCCCTGTTGTGCCTGAACTAACTATTCACTCTGTTCCCCCCCCTCCACGAACCCCCCCCCCCCCCCCCCCAAATCTTCTGTCACTACAGCTGTGCGTCAGCTGTCGGCCTGTCCCAGTCTAGTCGGATAGATGAAGCCCAAACAGAGGGCCTACAGGGAAGACAGCCTGGCCTCTCGGGTCTCTCCCAGCTGTCACTCCCACTTCCACTTATCATGAGGTTTCTTTCCTCCCCCTTGCTTCACCACTGGAAGTCTCAAAAGTAAAATATGCACGAGGGATAGAGCAGTGAAATGTGCTTATTTTTTCACATATTCTACATCACATATACTGTAATTTTGTTAAGATCTATGCTCAGTTGACCGTTTGTTACTGTAGGTACATCTAGCTTAAACTAATTCTAATCCAAGAGTCCTGTAATAGAATCCTACCTTCATGAAGGTTATAATGTTCAGTTTCTGTTTAAACTGTTGAAGAGAGGTGTTGATTCAACTTCTGATCATTTTGGAGGCAGCAGAGAGAGAAATGTGTCTCTTGTTTTGTCTATCCCTACATTTTAGAAACACCTCTCTGTATATCACAACATTTCAACAGCTCCTTCGTAATGATCATTATTTGAATCGCCCCCTCTCACATTACAACCTTCATGAAGGTAGGATTTCATAACAGGACTGCTGTATTAGATATTAGCATTAGTGTTAATGTACCTAATAAACTGAGTGTGAGTGTTTTAAGCTTCCAAGGATTTTTAAATTCACTTAACATCACATACAAACTGTCTGTGATGTGCCGTGCAATTCACTTTGCACTAACCGTGCACAGACCATGTTTGCATCTCTATTAACTCAAAAGACTTCGTCATCTGTCCCTCTCTCTCACTTAATGGCTTTCATTTCTCCAACCTTTGCAGCTTCATCGGTTTGTTATTTATTCCAAACGAGCATCACCGACCGGGTGCTCCAAATCCTACTCCGTGTCACACAGAAGGAATAAAGAAATCTCTGGGAGTAAATGGAGTCTGCTAATTCGACCATCTTCACTTACCAAGCTGTTTGTACCCAGCAAAGTATCATCGCTAACAGAGAGAAAAACACATTAGTGTGGGAAAGTGGCCTTTGTTATACGGCTCTGTGCTTGCTCCACTGGGATTCGGTCCATTGCTGAGCTCGGCATGCAAAGTGTAGAGAAACGAATGACTGTGAGATATGCTGTGTGCTTTAGACTAAGATGATTTGATTGAGGGAGTTGAGTTAACGATGGAGAAAGTGAGCCAGGAGCTCAACAGCCGTGTGTGTGTGTGTGTGTGTGTGTGTGTGTGTGTGTGTAATGTATATGCGGGCGTGAAAATAAAATCATTTGTGGTTTGATGGGGGGGTTGGTGCAGTTTCTATAAGCACAGACAGGAATCCTAAAGTGGATGTCAATTTTAAATATCTCTTTCTCTGCCACAGGTATGCCTTTGGACATCAGCGTGTCCCCGGACAGGTAACCAGGTGTGTTGCTGCCGTCATGGCCTTGCCAACCCCACAGCTGTTTCATGTCACCATGATCACAGTCCTGGTGGCGCTGGTGTCGTCTTCTGGGGACCACGAGTGGCACTTTAACCCAGGTAGGATGTCGTCTACACCCAAAGAGAACATCTAAATTGGTGATGGATGACTTGTAACCCAAATTCTGTGTTTTTTTTTCTTTCTTTCTTTGACTGTTGTACGTCCCAAATGCCGCAGTTGGCACATTACAAGGTTTTTATTACCACAAACTCGGACATGATTCCACTTTCAAGCCCTTCCCCTCTTTTCCCCCCTCGTGTCCACTGGGCACAGCCAGCGTCCGCCCTGCTGCTCCGACATTCTCCTCACATTCTCAGATCAGTAAGGCTCATTCTCTGTCCGCTATCAACAGGCTATCCTGTGTCCTCTCCCTGTCTGCCAGCCAGTCGTGTGTAATGGGAGAATGAGATAGCTAGGCCCCCCATTCTGCTTGCCAAGACCGCTAATGCACAGGCAGCTCATGAAAGTGTCAGTCAAAATGTCGGGGAAGGGAGTGAATGAGGGGTTGGTGAATGAGAGCCAACCAGGTGTAACCAGAGGAGACTGTTTCTGCCTGCAGCAGCTAGACTGTATATGTGACTAGGCTGCAAATATTGATCATTATTTTAATGTTTTCTTCTTCTTTTTTTATTATTCAGCGCTTAGTTGAGAAACTGGATCCATCAAATGTTTGGATTTTTGTTTTTTGCTTTATTAATGACTCATCTGATTAATAGATTATCCTCATTGGAGCCAAGACAATCACTCAATTAATCAATTAGTCAATCAACATAAACATATCTGTCTATTTTTATGCATGCTAGCAGCGTAGCTCTTGTGATGGCGATATTGTCTGTTCATCCACCAATTGATTCATTGACTAATCGTGTCTGCAGTACATTCATCTAGGATTAGATTGATGGAAAAGAAACCGTTAGAGACAGATGAACAGACTGGTATGGCACACACAAACTTTCCTTTTGAAACACCTGAATCAATGTTGACAGTGTGAGCAGGAAGGTTTGGTGCATGGGCCAAAGTTTTATTAAAAGGAACTGTCAAGAAGAGAAAGTAAAAGCAGAGGACACACAGAGCGAGAGACGCAGACGGAGAGGTGAGAAGATTGCAGATGGCGGGGTGTTGACTGGCGATGTGTGGTGATGATGATGTAATAAAATGGGCACCTGTCTGCAGGGCGTGGATGGTGTGTGTGTGTGTGTGTGTGTGTGTGTGTGTGTGTGTTGCACCCGTTGGGGTTTTTAGGGTTTGTCATTCAGCCCAGCATTCCTGTTCGCTGACTCAATGACAGAAACTGAGTCAGACGCCCACCCTCCCCCGCCTCTTTCTGTCACCCTCAGCCTCCCCTCCATATCTCTGTCACTCAGTACGACTTTCCACTTTATCACTACCCGAACCCCCCCACTTCCTCAGCCTCTCATCCTCCCCCTCCACCATCTCCTCCTCACGACTGAGAGCGGATAGCTGGGTCGTTGGGTAATCCATGCCTGGGACCACGCTATCTGGATCATTTGATAATGCTGCTGCTGGACTCGAGTCTGAGCAGATATCTGAGACCTGTCTGTGTTCGTTCATTCGCCCTTGGTTTCTCTGTCTCTTTTGTTCTGTTCCTGCAAATCCCCGGGCAGTGGTAACCGTAACGGGGTCTGTGCAGGATCGCTGGAGCCCGGAGGAGGTGGCTTTGTGTGGGACGGAGAGCTGGGGTTGGAAAGACAAAAGGAGAAAAATTTTAAAAAAAAACACGAAAGGTGTAGTCTCAGAGACGACAAGTCACGGGATCTCACGGGAGGCACTGGATACACTATACTCTTCAGATTAATTTTAATGACCATCTTTGCTGTTTTACTTTTGACAGGACAAAGGGGATTCACAGGAATAAGTGGTGCAAAGCACTGCCATTACGTTTCACATGAACTCATTAGTACAGAATCTCCCCGAGAGATGCTGTAACAAAATAAGGGAGGACAGGAGCATTTATTGTGGAGTTTGGTATTTCTTCTCCCTCCTCTCGCCGTCTGTGTGGGTTATGAAGCATGAAGTCCGGAAGTTTTCCCAGAGATGACATCACAACATTATGCTCCATGACCAATAATGGCTGCTGACGCTCTAATGGAAATATTAAGTTTCCCCTTGGACATGTTCTCCATACGAATGAGAATGTTGCTCATGTGTGTCTCTCTCCCACTTTCTCTTTATCTCTCTCTCCTTCTCTCTTTTCCTCAATCTTTCTCTTGCAGCTCAGTGTCGTTACGCCCTCGGGATGGAGGATGGCATCATCCCAGACTCTGACATCACTGCCTCCAGCGCCTGGTCAGACTCTACTGAGGCCAAACATGGAAGGTAGGAAGTGTGTGTGTGTGTGTGTGTGTGTGTGTACAAGGTAGAACGTTACGAAGTACATTCCTCCCTCCACAGTAATCAAGTGTACTTTTCTCGTACTGTACTTTGTGTGGTTACAGTCTGAAAACTGTCATTCTACTTAAAGAGTCAGGCTGATCACGCCCAGCATCACTGCTGCTGTTTCACCTGTAACCACACCCAACAGTGATGTCACGGTGTACTGAGTACACGTCTACATCACTGCAGCGACGGTCTGCCGAAAGCACTTTGAGCTGGTGACAACTTGCTAGATTTTGTTTAATTTTCTTTAAATAATGATGAAGTTTCATTTGAAGGACCATTTCATTTTGGCATTCATTCTATTTGGGATAAACTGCATTACCATGAAGGTAACATTGACATGAATTAATGCAGACTGCTGCTAATTGGTGTTCATACTATACAGAGATGAAAGGAAACCCTTTGAACAGAAGTACATTCAGATCTCTAAAGCTTAGCATCATGGTTTGTATAAGGATTAGCTGTGATGTAAAGTGTCTGTTATTGGAAGTAAATAGACCGAAACAAGCAAAAGCACACATAAAGCCCTCTAAATTTGGCTTGAAAGCTTTCAGTCAGTTAAGAAACTGTCTTGTATAGAAAACATAATTTAATGTAAACTTTTAGTCAGAGTGGCCTTTAAATGAACTACTAATATACTGAACTGTTGGTCGGGGAAACTGGAGTAAACTTCTACTGGAGTAAACGTTAAATGGAGTAACAGGAGAAATAACACATTTTAATACAGGAACACATGCACGCATCACTGTGGACTATTGGGTTTGACTGCTTGCTTTATTTTTAGTCTGTTTGCACCACGCTTAAGTAATTTGTTCAAGGCCTAATAGGTCATGATGGAAGAGTGATGGTGTGTCTTTCTAAAACCTTCTGGGTTATTATATTCCCACCATGTCTGTCTGGCAGTGAGGTCAGAGTCATGAGAGCCAAGTCAAGACTGCTACACACTCAAGCCGTGCATTCAGGGGTGTGTGTGTGTGTGTGTGTGTGTGTGTGTGTGTGTGTGACAATTGTATGTCCCCATAGCAAAACATACTACAACTTTAGGATTAGGCTTGTAGTGGTTATGGTTAGGCTAAGTCTCCAGGAAATGAATGAAAGTCAATGTCTGTGTGTGTGTGTGTGTGTGTGTGTGTGTGTGTGTTAATTGGTCTGTTGGCAGAGTGTCTCACCATGTGGAAATTATTATTAGCCCGAGCTTTTTTGTAAGAGACATCGGGGAGAGTGGATCACTGTGATGGTGCGCTGAAAGCTGCAGAGAAAGTAATCTGAAAACAGGGTTGGAGGGAAGGTGTAGGGTTAAGGGAGGGTTGCTGAGCCAGTAGGTATTAAGTAGCTGTTATTACTCTGAGGGAGTGAAATATCAGCATAGTGGGAGTGGGGAACAGTTGGAGGGAAAAAGCAGAATTGAGAACAATGTGGAAGGGATGAATTGCTGGCTGGTATTTAGGTAGAAAGCAAAAGATGGAGAAATAGGAGAGAGATGAGTTAGTTGGCAGACCAGCGTGCTGTAACGTTAACCCTGCTGGCTGCTGAACGGTGGACTGAGCTCTGCCCAGCCACATTCTTCCCCTCTCTCCCTCCTCATCCTCGTCTCCCATCACAGGACACCATGTGGAGCACTAATGTGTTGATATCATCTCACGGTTTCCGGCTGCATGATCTCACCCACCGAGGGGACTGATTGAAATACTAGCGCCACTGTCGGTGTGACCGAGTGGGTATAGTGATTTGTTTTAGCGGTGTGAGCAGCAGCTTTCATTTCGTAGAGAAGCCCCACAGTGGTCGGAGTGTGGTTGTGGCCTGGCGTCGGTTCCAAAGCTCCTCGTACGAGTTTGTCCGACGTCACAGACACACCGAGCCAAGTCAGTGGTCTCTGTGTGGCCAGTATGTGGTGGCGGTGTGGACTTTTCCTCTCAGGCTGGATTGACGAAGGTCATACTGAGTGAAAGTGTGTGTGTGTGTGTGTGTGTGTGTGTGTGTGTGTGTGTGTGTGTGTGTGTGTGTGTGTGTGTGTGTGTGTGTGGTGTCATGGCAGGCCTGAGGCGCTGCGAGTAAAGATTGGTCCTGACGTTCTGCATCTTGTTGTGAGGTTTAAAAAGCCAGTTATTTTCACTCTGCCCCTTTCATCTCTTTTCTTTTCTTCATGTGCAGTCTCGCTCGCTCGCTCGCTCGCTCTCTCTCTCTCCTGCCTGCTGTGCGCCTTTAGCCATAGCCAGGGTTTTCTCTCTTTCAGACAACATTGCCCCATTTATATGTGAACGTTTGGCTGTTGTGGAATCAATATGTTTGGTGGTAGAGGAGGGTCGCAGCGTGGTATCCCAGCGTGTTGATGTACTCGGTCTTGTTGTGGGTGTGTTTGGATCTCTGCATGGAAATGTTTTGGTGTGGGACTGGGATTTGGTGAACTTTTATGTTTTTTTTCTTATTTTGTCATCTAACATTTATAAGCCTGTTTCTCGCAGGTTGAGCACTGGAGAGGGGGATGGAGCGTGGTGTCCTGCAGGAGCCGTTTTCCCCAGTGCATCAGAATACCTTCAGGTCAGATCCTCCGTTTACTCTGCTCTGATTCACGCCGTTACATTCTGGAAGTAATGCTCAGTACAATCGCTGTATTGGGACTATTATAATAGTCATGGATTTGTTCTGCTTTAATTCACTCAAGGCCATGCTTTAGAGGGACTTTAGAACAGCTGCGATGAGTTGAGAAATACACTTTCTTTTTCTTGCTGAGAGTTAGATTGATACCGCTGTCTGTTTATCTGCCCACTAAATATGAAGCCAGAGCCACAAGGCGGGTAGCTTAGCAAAAAGACTGGACAGGATGGTGCTTTTTCTCAAGAGAACATAAGGAGATCAGTAAGTCCTAAAAAAGAAAAGTTGGTCACGGCCCATGGCTATTGAGCAGCTAGCAGCAAGCTTCAACAGGAAGCTCCTCCTACAAACAAAACAAGTCAGTGCATAAGAATTAAGTTGGATACTAATAGTATAAGTTTGGGGTACTTCAAAATACTTTCCCCCGAAACATTGACACACCACCAGAGATGTCAACCTACTCCTTTAAATCTACCTTAACATTTAGAAGTCTAACAAATTCAACTTTTTTTTTATGATTTCCCAATATCATTCTTTTATCTGTATCTCAATCTGTTTGTCTGTATTTTAGTGTTTTGATGATGTATTTCATGTCTGCAGGTGGACCTGCACAAACTCCACTTCCTGGCTCTGGTTGGTACTCAGGGCCGCCATGCCGACGGGCACGGCCAGGAGTTCGCCCGCAGTTATCGCCTCCGCTATTCCCGAGACGGAGTGAAATGGATCACCTGGAAGGACCGCTGGGGCAAGGAAGTAAGCAGGCTCTTTCAGTTTTGTTCATTACAGCAGATCCCACTGTCCCTTTCATGTGTTCACTAATGAAGGACAGCGAAAGTTTAAATGCCGTTAATTAAGCTTTGGGGGGGGGGATCAAGGAACATACAGTTGAGTCCAATGCTCCATTATTGATAGGAAACGGCTCAATGTCCGGTGGCTGTTTTAATATGAATGTCTTGTTAAACAGAGGCCTGGATTATTCATCTGCTTTTGATTTATTTATCATTTATTGGCAAGTGGAGCAGTTTGGCAATGCACCAGCTAAACTCTGTCCTCTAACTTTTCTGTTTAGACAAAATCTGCCTTCACTGCCTGAGTTTTCAACACTTACCTTGTGCAGATAAAGGCATCTTACTGTGTTTGGTAAATGTCCAATATTTTCTTTGCTGACTATAAGTTCTGCACTGTGTTTTGTACAACTGCTACATGATGGCATGGGAATTTAGACCTCCAACAGCCAATGTTTCAGGGAAAGAATCATACTGTTTTTTTTTCCCCTCCCAGTTATTATTTTAGAACATTGCTAAGCAACAAATATTCAGAGATTTCCAGCCAATGTAAATCTTTCGATGTGGGCTGCTCCACCAGAGGCTCGCGCTCGAAGAGCAGTCCTACTTTTGTGTTTTTAAGAAAAAGCGGTTTATGCTCGCCTTTAGATGAATAGAATTTGAAGACACGCTGAATAAAAAGTCAGAGCCGTGAGGCGAGATTCATTGAACCCCACAGATAACAGAGGAGACGAGCAATGTACTGTGTGATGTGATTTGATATTCATGCCTCTCTCCCTCTAGGCGGTGTCAGGGAATGAGAACACCTATGATGTTGTGCTGAAGGACCTGGGCCCTCCCATAGTGGCCCGCATGGTGCGCTTCTACCCCCTGGCTGACCGAGTTATGAGTGTTTGCCTTCGGGTGGAGCTCTATGGTTGTCTTTGGAACGGTGAGTGTTTGCGTGGAGGTGAGAGAGACGTGAAGAGATCACAGAAATACAAAATGTTCCTTCTTTTGTTGTTACTGGGGTATTCATTTGTTCTGTGTATTCTGGGGCATGCCCCCCCCAGACATTGATTATCAGATCACATTTCATATGGGGAAGGTGACGGAGGTCACTATCATCTTAAATTTACTGGAATGGTACAAGGGGGATTTGTTAGATGGTAGTGATTAAGAGTGTGTTTTCGCCATATGTCCCATGCATTGATTTGAAGCATTGCATCAAATTAACAGCCCCGCTGAGGTTTTTCCGGTTAAAGAAGCCACATGGTGATAAATTGTATTCGTCTCCAAGTTCCCTGAAGCGCAACACTGACAAGCTGAGTATTTATGGCTGCCTCACCTCCTCTCCAGCCCCATCCACCTCCCTCAAACAGCGTCAGGCCGCCTGTAAATCAGAACTGTCACAGAGGCCAAAAAGCCGCAGGTCCTGATCTGTGTCTTCGGGGAGACCATCTTTCTAAAATGTGCTCTAATGTGCATTCAGTGCAGCTCCGTTCACCCACAATCCAGAGATCGTACAGAATGTCAAGTTTTTACGCACATTCTGCATCTCACCTCATCTCGTATCAGATATTATGGCGGCGCAGTGTCTTTGCTGTATTTATTCTTCTACATCTCACACAGCTAAGTACATAATCGCATCCACAGACACTCATTTATGTGCAAACAGAGAATACTGCACATATGCTTTAAAGGCATTGTGAAGTGTTGTTTATTATGGGGAGCAGAGCAGAGGGCTGTAGTCCGTGTTGCTGACGTCACCTCTGTTCTCGGGGAGAGGGCTGATTAGCTGTATATTGGGGCGGAGAGGCTTGAATTTCACCGGTAAATGTCGTGTGGGCTGTTCAGGCCCGTTCTTCCGTTGTTTTACTACTTTAAAAAACAGCTATAGCCGTTTCCCCGCGGCAGTGATTACTGTTTAATGTTGGCTCAGTAAAACGTGTAGCTGCTCATTATGAATATATTAAGTTTCACATGCGGCTTGTTCAGGTCTTTCTCCTAAATAGAAAACAACAATAAAATGTTTTGTCTCAACAATCACACGACTAGAATTGAATATTTGTACATATCTCTCTGTCACTCAGACGGGTTGAAGGCTTACACAGCTCCAGTGGGTCACGTCATGCATCTGTCTGGCATATCTGGCATGCCTGTCTATCTAAACGACTCCACCTACGATGGGAGCACCGAGCAAGGGTAAGATCTTCACACCGCTCTTTTAATCTTTTTATTACCATTTGCATTTCTATGTATATTAAGTATCTCATCTCCATACATTCCCTTAAACTGCTCTTTTTGGATTTCGTGTTCATGGAAAAATGCATGATGAAACCGACACGACCAGTGCGTGGAAATTGCAACACTGCTTATGCAAATAGGATCACAATGAACATTCACAAGTTTTACGGTCAGCAGCGTGGAGTGATCAGTGGAATACCAAACTCTTCTCTGCAGCGCTCATCACATCTGTTCGCAGTGAAGAGGGGTCTCGGGCTAATCTCTTCTTGAAAGTTTTTTCTGGTGTCCGCCTAATCGAAAGGGAACGACATTATTTTCTTTGAGTTGCTCTGGGATTTGAGGCGCGTTTCCTGGCCGTAATGTTTTGGCGGGGAGCAAAGGAGGGCTGAACTAGGAATTGGTGGGGGTCCGCACTTGCATGGGCTGTGTGGGTAATGGGGCTGAAATGTTTTGCTAGCGGGTGAGTTAACACGTTTGATGTAATCCAGACGTGCTTTAAGCAGATGGTGTGTGTGCGTGTGTGTGTGTGTGTGTGTGTGAGAGAGAGAGAGAGAGAGTGAGCAAGCTTGTTTGCATTTACATCTATATGTTTATATGCTTATTTAGCATCTTTGTATGCCAGTACATGAATACATTTGACGGTCCACTGCCTCCAGAACCGTTTCTGCACAGAGCTGCATGTTAACCCGTCCAGTGTTTGTGCAGGATGCAGTTTGGAGGCCTGGGTCAGCTGATGGACGGCGTCCTGGGAGGAGATGACTTCATAGAAACTAAAGAGCTGAGGGTGTGGCCTGGCTATGACTACCTGGGCTGGAGCCGGGAGGCCCTTGGGCAAGGCAGCGTGGATATTGAGTTCCACTTTGAGAAGCCACGTGTCTTCCACAACATGCAGGTAGGCAGTGAAAGTTTGTGTGACCGTGCATGCGTTGTTGTCTGTGAATGAATGTGAGAGGGTTCTGCAGGACTTATTATCCCACTGGAATCTCAGACGGCATGGAGCTGCCTGTAAATCAGAGACGTCATTGAGGCTAAAAGCCCAGATTTCCGGTCTGTGTCTTCGGGGAGGTCTTTCTAAAACACGCTCCGAGGGGGACGACGAGTCACTGCAGCTCAAGTTCGTCCACAAGTCACTGAAGCCAGAGAACATGCAGAATCTATAGAATGTCCAGTTTAATGCACATTCAGTCTTTTATCTCACCAATTGTCAGATCTGATGACGGGTGTCTTTCTAGTGTTGCGTGTAAACGAATGCCAGAGTGTTATGTGGGACATTGTTTATTGAACTTCTATAACTCCTTGATGTTTTAAAATGAGATCCTTGTTTCTGTGTGTTTGGTGAAGACCAGTATTCACACAAAGCTCTGTTTGTTAATTAATACCTATATTTGGTTAACCAATAACCTCATTAGCACATGAAAAGCATGTCATACTGATTATAGCAGGACATTAGGCTGATTAGATTGTTTTGTTTTTAGCGTCTGATGAAACTCCTTTTCAAATCCTGCAGCTCCAACCAGTACAACCTCATAAAAAAGAAGCATAGTTATGCGTCTGCCATCTCACCATGAAGCAGCATTTTGACCAGAATAGCTCTGCGGCCATTTAATTAGTTTTAATTTGCCATTGTTTATCATGGCACAGCTCGTCTGTGCTCGGCTCTCTGGGTGCCACTGAGTTGCATCACAGTTTGTTTGTTTGAAGCGAAACCAAAAGATCAGAGGGAACTCATGAATGTAGGTTATATTTATGATGAAAGAAGCAAAACATAATGAATGCAGTGTTATGCTCTCAAATTAAGCTTTGCGCAGGTCATTTGAGCTGTTCTCCCTGAAGGAGTAGTGAATTACTTTGGTTCTGTTGACTTATAGGTCCCCCACCACAAGCATCAAAACACACCCTAACCCCCCATTTTTGTCCCCTTTCAGATAGAATCAGTTACACATTAACTCAGCATCTGGTGCAGCTGTTCTTCCTGCCGTGTGTGTGTGTGTGTGTGTGTGTGTGTGTGTGTGTGTGTGTGTGTG